GCTGCTGTCTTTTCTTTTTAATTCTTCCAGCAGGGAGGTGGGTTCTACTCCTGACATTAACAGTCTAAGGACGCTTCTGGATGGAGCTGCCCAAGGATGGGTACTCCTTTCTAACCAAGGTTACCTCCTTTTTCTGAGAGACGGTTGCTAAAACAATGCCAAGTTCAGTCATGCCAGCAGTCACAAAATGAGCATTCAGCCAGCTTTGGCACTCCCCATCTTTTATATGGCCAGGGAAAGAGATGGGGCTTTTCCCCTAACTTAAAACTCTGTCTCACTACCTCTATGGAAGGAATTACCCCTGGCACTGAGGCAGCAGCTGCCCCCACTGTATAAACCAAAGTTCCTCTGGGCTTCTTGTAGTCCCCGCAGGACAGGTGGGATCCAGTGTTTGTGCCTGCTTTCGAGAAAACCTGCGATCATTAGGCTCCCGTTATCCTCGACCGCCTCACCGCACACTCACAAGATAATGGTTAAATGCAATCAATCACAACATGGCTCCCAGAGACTGGGGGGTGGGGGGCTTGTGGACATGGTCTGTGGCGGACTGGCCAACCCCAAGGTCCACATACAGCATCCTTCTGAAGAATGTGCACAGCACGGGGTGGGGGCAGAGGGAGAGAGGTGGTTCTGCCTGCTTTGCCTGGCTGATGACTGGGGTGGGATAGCTTAGGGGCTGGCACTACATCCCGGATTTTTAATCCTTTTCATATTCACTGAAGAAACTCCTCCTATTGCTGGTCTCCTTGCATCTTTAAATCATAGCCTAAAAGCACGTGTGCCCAGAGCTGAGGGCCAAGACTGGACCTCTATCCCAGGGACAAATTTGCATACTCAGAAGCAAGGAAAGGAGAATCTGCCAGCCTTTTCTCTCCTCCGGCTCCGCTAGGCACTGTCACTACCCATCCCTGGTGGAAAAAGATTCTGAGTTTCAGCCTAATGAGGCTGATAGGAAGTCTAGAGTTTTGGAAGCCAAATAAGCAAGCTCATTGACTGAGAGCTGTGGGCCAGACTGGGTACAAGCATAGGGGTATAAGAAGGAAGACAAACCCAGTGTGTGCCCTCCGAGAGTGCTCAGCCTGGTAAGGACCTCATGGTAAATCTGACCGTCTGGGTCTGTTAACATTCTCAACACTTGTTCGCAATTTGAAGAGCCTCCCAAAGTATTTTTCATGTTGAAACTAAATTGCAAAGGTGATGACAAAAATAGTCAGAACCTCCCAAAGCACTGGAACTCTGACTGCAGAGATAGCAAGTAGCGGAGCAATCCCAACCGGATTGCTGATGGTAATGGATCAACAGTGAGTGGGTCGAGAAAAGCAGCAGGTTGGCCGCAAATGAAAAACAGACATACTGGGAAAAGCATTTCAGTTTCTCATAAAACATTAGGCAATTATGGGAACTAAATAATTTATTTTCAAAAGGTATAGAGAAATTTGTCTTTCAGATAACCACATAATTTCTTGGCTAACTCCTATGCATTCAGAGATGGGCAACCACCATAAGAGAAGGCAAAGAAGTGTGACAATATTTTCTTTGAGTCACAATATTGGAAGTTGAGGTTTTGCACATGGAAAAACTAAAGGGATGTTGAAAACGAATATGAAAACAAATATATGTATGGATATGCATGACTGGGACAATTTGCTGACACATTGTAATTGACTGTACTTCAAAAAATAAATAAAGTTTTTAAAGAGTGAGAAACCAAAAAAAAAAAAATTAAAAGGATATTGATTCATACTATAAAAATCTTTTAAAACCCTTTGCCTAATATCTGAAAATTCTGTGGAGGAAAAGATGTATGATTCTAACCAAGAGGTAAAAAATTGAGTTTAGAGGCTTTTTGTAGTCATTGCACTGGGATGAGGGTGGGGATGACAAAAGACTTGCGATTAGGAACACAGCAGATAAAATGGTTTTCCATGCAAACAAAAAGCAAAATCCTTTCTAATGACTTCCCCCCAAGTGATGTTCTGTAAGCATCAAAAGTGTTAGACCAACGGGGTTTCAAACTCTTGTCATTATACTCTTTGGGAATTTTTTAGTCAAATATAGATTTGTTTAAAAAAAATAGAAAGTGTTTTTCTGATGATTTTTCTCTTCATAGCAAAACACTCAGATTGTATACAAAATGATAGACAAGCAAAAATCACACATAATCCTACTACACAGAGATAATCAATATTACCATTTTGGTGTACGCTCTTCTAAACATGTTTCTGTGTGTGTATACACACAGGTTAACATATACTTCTTTATAAAAATGAAATCATGCTAGGCATACTGCAATTTCGTGGATTTTTTACTTAATAATATATCATTTTTCATTTCGATAAATATAGGTTTCAACTAGTATAGTGAGTGGAATAGGGTCCCCCAAATTTATGTCCACCCAGAACCTCAGAATGTGACCTTACTGGGAAAGAGAGTGTCTTTGCAAATTTAATTAGTTAAGGGTCCACAGATAAAATCATCCTGGATTTAGGATGGGCCCTAAATCCAATGACTGGTGTCCTTTTAAGGAAAAGGAGAGGGAGATTTGGACGCAGACACAGAGAGAGGGTCATATGAAGATGAGATAAAGATTGGATGGACGTAGCTACAAGCAACGTCTGGGGCCACGAGAAGCTGGAAGATGAGAAGAAGGATTCTCTCCTAGGGCCTTCAGAAGCAGTCTGACCCTGATGATACCTTGATTTTGGATTTCTGACCTGCAGATCAGTGAAAGAATAAATTCCTTTGTTTTAAGCCACCAAGTAAGGGATAATTTGCTATGACAGCCCCAAGAAACCAAAACAGTTAGCATTTCTACTGGCCTCATCGTGTTTACTGTATTCCATTCCACATGGATTGCCACAGGGAATGGAATATGATGATGGCCGCTGTTGATGGCTATTTAGTTTGCTTTCAGGTTTTCATTATTACAAACAATGCTGCAATAAGCATTCTTGTTGAGAAAACTGGGTGCCCTTCTATGGGGCGGGAACATAGCTTAATAGTTAATAGCATGGGTTCCAAAGCCAAAGAGACTGCCTGGGTTAGAATTCTTACTTCATGACCTGCTAGCTATTACTCTGAGTTCTTTCTTAACTGGGGACTTGCTGTTATGTGAAAAAAAAAATTTTTTTTTCACAATCTCTGACACATAATAAGTACTAAATAAGTGTTCTATTAATAATAAATTACCACAGATGGGTAATTCTTTCTAGGTCAAAGAAGAGACACATTTTCAAAAACCAAATGCAATTAGAAAAGGATGAATAACCTAATAAGCATCAGAGTTCACTTTTGCTTACAGGAATATGCATTTTCATAGGAAAATTATAGGTGCAAAAGGCTATGAATACTTAATTTCTACCACCTCCAACAAAACAAAGCAAGCATGTTAGTAACTTATTTTTGTTGACCTTAAAAAGACGACTGTTAATCGTTCAACACATGGGCATTTAAGTCAGACTACGTGTAATTTCAACCCTGGCTCTGCCTCTTTTTAATCTAAAGGAAATGACTAAACTTCTATGGTCCTCAGTTTTTCAATCACATCCTGGGCTGATTTTCCTGTACTATTAGTACTATTGTAAGAGTTAACTGAGGTACTTAACGCAAATTGCCTAGTTCAGAATCTGGAACATATTAGAGGCATAAAATAGTGTGTTACTGTTACTAAAAGAAAAAAAAATGATGTCTAAGAAAACTCTCAGGAATAGTCTATTGAATAAAGATAAAATCTAAGATACTTGCAATCACTTCCTAGATGAATAATACATACTGGTGGTCTACAAGCTCTTGGATCCTGCACCCCATCAGTAAAAAAATGCACCCTGCACCCCTCAATATATTTATACTATTTATAAGTCATAAACATAGACAATGATATTCTTAGACACATCATAAAACTCAGAAATAGAAATTTCAAAAGCAGAAGTTTCGAAGAGATGAGATAACATCTTTAAAGTTCGGACATTTCCTTTCTACAATCTAGTGGATCATCTTGAACATCCCTCATCCTGGGTTCACATACTTCACTCTGAAGGTGCCTGATGATAAAGTTCCCTTATCTACAAGGTAATAAAGGGATGGGGTGGGCTTGAGGTTTTGCTGATCATCCAACTGCACGTGGAACTAACCAGCAACACATATTTGAAGGATGTGAGCACCTTTCTGTTTGATCTACACCCTCCTTGCTCATTTTTAAAGATTTGGTTCTAAGGTCATCTTCAGCATGAAACTTCCCCTGGCACATCCAGGTAGAACTGGCAACTGCTTCCCCTGGATCCTCCCAAGACAGGAGGGAAGGGGGCAGGGCACAGCCATTCAAGGAATGACACAATTAACAACCAAATGGTGGAAGATTCAACCCCCAGTAGGCCTTGAAGCTCAAGATGGCGGGAGATTTGAATTCTAGTAGAACTTGAGCTTCATTGTATGTTCACTGTAATATATTAGCATGGTAAATGACACTCCCACAGGCGCCATGACAGTTCCAAGGCTGACCATAAAAGGACAAAAAATGGGCAGTGGCCAAATTCCTGGGAATCCCAGCCCCTTCCCCAGGGTAGTTGGAACAGTCCTCCCACTTGTTAGCATATGAAGCTACCGAGCCCATAAAAACTAGCAACACTGTGCCTCGTGGCCGCCTCTCTCTCTCCCTCTTCTTCGGAGATGGCTCGCACTCTGTCTATGGAGTGTGTGTCCACTTTTACTCTAATCTGAGCACCCAGCCCCCACACCTCGTGGCCTTGATCTTGCCTTCTGAAACAGCCTGTACTCTGTCTGTGGAATATGTATCTCTCTGAATAAATCTACCTTTTCTCAGCTGTGGCTTGCTCTTGAATTCTTTCCTATTTGAAGCCAAGGATCCACACTTGACATCCCAGGGACTAAACTGAGACTTGGGACACGGCCCTGCTCACACTCCACATCCGTTTTTCCTGCATCATTCTTACCCCTATGCAGATATTGAACATAACATCTAAACATTTGATTGCATTTATTACCTCTGTGTCTCTCTGGCCATATTGAATATCAGCCTCTCAACAGTGAGGATCATGTCGAAGTCTTCATTGACTCGCTGATACTTGTTACACAGTAGATCCTTACGTGCCAAGTGAAGGAGCTGACAAAACCAGACAGCAGGACAGTGCATAAAAATTAAGAAGGATGTTTCAGAAGCACATAAAAGAAATGAAAATAGAGAAGGAAAAGGAAATGCTATGAAATGCTAAGTAGAGCCTCTTCAACATAGGGTTAGACTTAATTAGATTATAATGTCTGACTTGTTTGCAGCAAATTGCACAGAATTTCCCAGTTGAATCCTCCAGATACTTCAGTGAGACTCTGGGTTGCCTCGCTCCTCTGCACATCTCTTCGTCTGCCCTACAGAGAAGGAGAGTTGGGCTTGGATGGGGATGTTTACGTGCTTGCTAATTATACATTTGTTTTCCCTCTAAGCTCAGTTCTGCCTGCCGTGAATAGCTCCAGATGACAATCATTTTCATGCTTTCAGTCAAAGTCTCCAGAAGGACTTGGAAGAAGGGGACAAAGCCAGAAGTTTAACATCAACAACAAGAAAAAAGAAGAAGAAAATAAATTTAAATGTCCTGCTCCCCATTTTTTGCTTTCCTATCTCAGCACTCTAGTACTCCTGTTCACCTGAAACTAGAACGCTGGGGGTAGGTTGGGGCAAACAGAATTCAAATGGATGCAACAAATAAGAAGGTTGTATTCCAATCCATGCTTGAGTTATCTGAATTATTTTATATTCTCTCTCCCCTACTTTGTCTTTCATGTTAACTTGAAGCCACAACTAGTACCTGTTAGCAATATTTATATTCACATCAGTTCCCTTAAAGCATTGTTTTTCGAAACAGGTGCCACGAGATGGTCACAGATGCTCCATGGGAAACGGTTCTGTGGTCAAGTGTTTGGGAAATTTATGGTTATACGAGTTAAACAGATTTCTTTGCAACAGATTTTCTCATGCCCTTTAATTTACCAACGTACCTGGTCAACCTCCAAAAGAAAGCATCGTTTATACTATAGAACCCCCTTTTTCTGGAATCATCTGGCCAGACTAGTCTTCTGATTAATACATTTTAAGAAATGCCACCCTTTGACATAAGGGTTTGCTTAAACTGAGAGCTCTTGTCACCAGAGACACAGACATTCAGAAGTACCTCCGTCACTTGATTGGTGTGCTGCTCTTGACCATACAGAGAAATCATCACAAAGTGACTCCCCCCAGTACTCAACAGCAAATTTCATTCTTCCTGTAGGCTGACATCTCTGTGCCCTGGGGCTGGAAATGCCAATCCTGCAGAAAGAGATAGGCTAGAAAAGCAGCGTGGTGGAAGGGCAAAAGGAACTGAACTGGGCCCCAAGGCTTTAGGAATATGCATCTCAGGACCTAAATTGTGTATTTAATCTCTCAGCAAGTGCTTGTCAGAAGTGCAAATGTCCTTCCCTCTTGGGGTGCTTTCACGGAGAAGCCCATTTTTTCTAATTTTACTCCCACCCATTCGCTCACAAAGCCTTGCAATTATAGCTTTCATTCACAGTGTGTTCCCACCCAGAAGATCACCTCTCTACCTAATTCCTGCTTAGTCTTCAATCTCCTCCTACTGCACGAAGACTTCCCTTTCTACCCACTGTTAAACTCTCTCAATTCTCTAAATATGCACACTACTTACTGTCTAAACCAGAGCTCAACAAACCATGGTCCTCCTTCCAAATTCAGCCTGCCATCTATTTTCGTAAATACGGTTTTATTGGAACACAATCCCGCCCATTCATTTATGTGCTGTCTGGAGCTGCTTTCTCTCTGCAAGGGCAGACCTGAGTAGTGGAGCAAGCCCAATGACCATATGAAATGCACGCCTAATATAATTACTATCTGTTCTTTACAGAAAAAAATTGCCAAACTCTGGTCTACACCACTTCTTTAGTACTTAGCAAATGCTTCATGTTGGGACTCACACTTTGATGTTTCTGTGTATCTTCTCAATGATGGTTAAGTCCACTGAGGGCAGGATCTATGACTTATTTTGAATACTTTGTAACTCCTAGCTCAGAATAGGTTATCAATAAATTTTAACTTATCAATCAATTTTTTCATGGTTTTTTTTTGTTTTTATTTTTTTGGAAAGAGCACAATTTACCCAAATTCTCTGTAAGATGTTCCTGGTACCCAAAAAGAAAGAGTAAATGATATCTTGTTATTTTCATACCATTTCAGTCTAGTGGTTTGTGATGGGAAGTGGACACAGGCTATTTACTTTGATTAGTTTCAAATTTTCTCTGAACGTAAAATAAACCTCAAAAGGATAGCTATGTATTTCTTCCTGGAAGCCCGGAAAATATTATCATTTCTGTATACAAATTGCATAACTTTAATACTTTCCCCATCTACTATATACTGATTCCAACAACCCCAAAACAGCTGCAAACTACACACACACACACACACACACACACAGACAAACTACTGAAGGGTTCCATGTGTACTAGCAGACAGAATGTGGACTGGAAGAAATTGATCAGTAGTGTTAAAAAAGAGACAAAACACCCAAAATGGAGTCACTTTTGCTATGTCCCATATCATTAAACCAAGACTTAATACCTCACTTAATTACAGTTTCAGCCTCTCTCAGGAATGGAATCTTAAACCAGTCAATCAGGAATTACTCAGTCAGCACTAGTGAGGTAATCTGTCTAACAGGACCCCTAAAGGAAGGGAGGATGGTGACAAATCTGATCTCTTGTCTCGGTGATTAACTGAGATTTTTCCCTTTAAAATATCCCCTTTTTCCCTTTAAAACTTTCATGGCTGAACAGAAACTTCGGAGTTGGTTTTTGCAGACACTGAGTTCACTGTCGCCCCGGACTGCCGGCATTCTGGTTAAAAGCAACTTTCCTTTCTATCACAATTGTCTCTCCCAAGTCTTGGTTTCTGAGTGGTGAGCAGCTGGACCTGAGTTCAGTAACACCCTGTTGAAAGAGAAAAATAAAAAATAAAAATTTCATGTGGTCCTATTCTTTCCAAATTCAGACCCATTGATTATTGATCCTTCCTCTCCCAGTGACAGGTGCTCCCCTCTTATGTGTCTTGTTTTGTGTCCTGAGGATTCAGCTTGGTAACCATCAGCAATGTGGGCAGAACTCCATCTGCAGCTACTCTATCGCCAGCGTTCAGGGGGACTGTCTATTTGGTTGTCTTGGGGAGTGCTCTGCATCTTGGGAGAGTAATATTTTTGCACCTTCTTTGGAAACACCTCTTGTGTCCACGGGATTGTTCAATACTGCTAGAAATATTTTCAGCCTCCTTCCCTAAACTAAACTAAAACTGTGCACCCAGAGGGACAGGGAAACATTCTGAGGCCTTTGTGAAAGAATTTACTAAAACATTCCAAAGACAAACGGTTCTAAATCCAGAACATAAAAATCTTTTGATTTCTGTCTTAGTTGGAAATCTCCCTGACATAAAAAAGCAAATTGAAGATAATGTGGTTGGGTGGAAGGATCAGCCCTTTCATATCATCTAGGCTGCAAACCAATTCTTTGAGGAATTAAGAGCGACTATCCTTATCTTAGCAAATCTTTGTAAGACCAGAAACTTGGCTCCAGAAACAACTCAAAATTCACCTACCTTTTTTGCAAAGCCCTAATCTCCCATATTTATTTTAAAAGACTGATAAAAACTCTGGCCTTAGAAAACAAAAGTCCTTCTTGGAGAAACTTGCATTCTTTCTCCGTGCCTTTGAGATATAAATGTTCTACCTGGCCTTCTCCAGGGACTCTCATCTAGGCCATCCCTTTGGAATACAAACATTAGGAAAATAATTCTTATCAGAAGAAAAACAAAAGGGGAAAAGTTATTTGGAACTCAGGTAAATGACAAATTGTAAGTGTCTTCCTCAAAACTATTAGTAAAAAGTTTACCATCTGGGCAAGTAAACTTAACTTACTCCATTTGCCAAAACACAATTTAAATCCAACTTCTTTTATAAACTAGTGAGTTTTATATTACCATATCCATGAGGCTACAATTTTAAAATGAAAGCTATAAGATCTCTGTGTCTGTCTGCACATTTATGTGTGTTTATGAATGTATGTTAAAGATGTGTGATTTTTTTTTCTACTTTCAAATGGTATTGCTAAAATTAATTTGTAAAGCACTCTATTTAGTTGGCTTAAAAACAAGCAAGCACTATATAAATTACGTATACTCTCAGAAATTTAAAAACAAAACTCCCCCAACTATTTTTCAAGTACATTATGATCTAGGATAATATTCAGTTAATAAAAGCTAGTTTACGTTTGTTGGTTTAATTAAAATAGACATGTCTTTAGAGTTATCAACATTGATATTATTGAAAATAATGCAGATATGCAATTCATATTCAACCTGGGTTTACTAATCAAATAATTTCATGTTATCTCTGTTACAGGATTTTTCAGCAGGAAAAATAGTTTGGGGTGATGGCAGACTTTGTCTACTGCCTCATGAAGTTTTTTTGGGGGGTAGTCTAAACATAATTGTTAGGAATAAGTGAATTAAATAGATGTGATTGAGATAAGAATTTTTATGTGACTTTTTAGCAATAATTGTGTTTTACAGTATGTCTACTTAAGTAGTTTCCCCAAATCTTTCTGATAACTTGAAACTTTAGAGTTTTGCTAAGTTAATTAAATTATGGGTAGTCTAAATATCTAGATCATTTCCAAATAAAATAAAACATTGAAACATTAATTACCAAACACAAGTTTATTGACTTTTGGCTTCTTATTACCAGGAAACTTAAGATATTTGGTTCTATTGGTGAAC